GAGATTCAAAGACACAAAGTGGGCGATGAAACAAGAAGAGGAGATCTTGGGCCGCTGCTGGAGCGTGGAGAGAAAGCGGGCAGGACAAGAGGGCAATAGGCAGGCTTGGAGGCAGCTGCAGCGCACCTTCCTTGGCTGCCACCGCAAACGCACCTACAAGGAAGGAGCAAGGGAGCGTGGCCAATGAGGGGGTCCGAGCACGAGTTCCCTCTGATCGATCGCACGTCATGCCCATCTTGCCCAGGAACAACCTCGCGCCGGCAATTACACTAGCCAGCTGTTTGCAGTGGGCGTGCACGGTAAGGCTGCTGCCATTGACGCCCATCTGAAACCCATTGCTTTTGCCCGCCGTGGGATCCAGCACCCAACGCCTGTGGCGACGACTGGGAGAGCCACCGACGTGCAAGCGCCAGTGCGACGCGTCGGTGAAACAACTGACCCGTCGCAGCCAGCTATGCTGCAAGCCGGTGGATAACAGCTATCGTATGCCTAGGGAGTTGCCCCGGAGCGCAATGCACAGCCTATCGAGTGCCAGACGGTGGCACACTCTGATCCGAACACTAGGGGCGCATGAAACTCGACAAACTGCACCCTGGCCTTAGGTGCAGCTCAGCTCAACCACTAAAGCCACACGCCCACATCCCAGGGGTACGCAGTCCACGCTGCATCGCTACCCTCGTGGTCCAGAAGGGTCTCTCGAGGCTACCACCGACATCTCATTTCGATCTCAACTCCAGCGCACGGAACTTCTCCTGCATCGCGATCACAAACTCGCAAAGGAGATGAACTGTCATCTGGTCGACCACCTGCGCGAGAACTCATCTTGGAACACTACGTGAAAATCGGGTACCTCGTCGTAGTGCGCTCCGAGTATGCCGTCTTCATGCGCGGAAGCCTTCGCTACCATGCCTGCGTGTCAGCTTACCCCAGTACTGCACCCCACTCAACAGTCATATCGCATATGCCGCATCCGGTCTACCGGCTTGTATACCTCTTGCTCTTTCTTCTGTCCGTTGCGATATTCTTTCATCATGCGGCTCAGCTCCTGTTGAAAGGCGCAACGCTCAGGTGCCGGCTAGGCACCCGTCAACAACGTCTGTGGTTCCATTAATAACCTCCTAAGCGAGTCTTTACAGATCACGATGCGGAGCCTCCTCCGTGATTAGCAGCGTGGGGCGGACGGCTCATCATGGTGATCAGCGGGTAGCCGCAACTTCGACCTCAACAGCGTCTGTTCTCTCGTGCGTCTAAACCCGCAAACAGGCTTGTGTAACCAAACCGGGAAGTATGCTTCCAAAGCGGAGGGCACCGGCTGGTCCTTTTCGGTGCTTGCTTGACTCCGTCCGTGAAATCTCCCGCCCGACGTTGACAGTGCTGTCGGATCGGAGCCCAGAATTCAGGCCGGCACTTGCGGAAATACAGTTTTATGGCCAATCAGAGAAAACATAAATCGTATCATTTTCTAATCTCAAACTGCCTACTTGAATTCTAAGACGGTGAAATTGAAACCGTATACAAACCATCAGTCCAGGAAATGGGAAGGCCAAATGGACAAACACCGGGCCTCACTCAATTCTGCACGCCCTGCAATCCAGTGTCTGTTCATTCCAACCTTCTCACCTGATTGCAAAGCTGACGTATGCTCTGGCACTTACTTGTCATGCGCTGAACTCATGACATGAACGATCCGGCAATAAAGCGCTCATGCGACCTGTCATGAGCTGCGAGCGTGTTTTGCGTCGGGGAAGTTCCCTTGACCCTTAAAATGTACCTGGATGAGAGCTCATGCTACCCTTGCGATAATGTGCCGCTGCGGTTCTGCATGGTACAGCCTGTGGGCATGGCACTTGAGTGCGATACCCGACCAGATCACCATCGGAAAGTTTGCAAAGGGTCACATTACTAGGCATGTAACGCTGTAATGTACATATCCACATTAAACCTCACCCTGAATGTCGACGGTTTTTTTGCTCATAAACCGTTAATGAAGATCATGGAATGCACAAGGATGTACATTATCTGTGAAAATGCCGGACACATTCGGGTAGTTGCGCTTGTCAGTGTCTTTATAGTAAGGTCATTTGACTATGTAATTTCACGTCACTGTCGTCACAGACGAGCCTAGTGATCGTACTGACACCAGACCATGTTTCAAGCGTTTTGAGAACGCTACAAATCATCCCGAAGCCTGCTGGACGGCATTTCATAAACCCGATGTTACTTGAGTTGAATCAGCACAGTGACATGGAGTTAGAAGAAATGACCATGAGATTCAGCGATGATGTACCTGGGTCTGCTAGCAATGGAAATTACAGTTGCCTCTATCTGTTCTGTTCCCGACCGATACATTCACTTGTGTTCCAAGACACAATGGACGCACTCTCGTTCTTTAGGACATCTTCCGTGGTAGATTATTATTGTACGAGAAATGAACGAGAAAGGGTTCTGCGATTGAAGGTATACAAAGCATGCTGAGTGTGACACGAACACATGATGGCAATGTTGACATGCAACTTTGTATCGAAGAGAAAATATTCGGGTATCTAGGTACTAACTTAGTGCACCAAAAAAGGTCTATGTCTATCTCTTGATTCCGCCAACAATGCTGACATGCTCATCGGCAATGTCTAATCTCAAATGATCTATGTGAAAACTCCAGACAAAGTAAGACATCGTTCATCGACTTCAGAACCTCTGCTTCAAGGCCCAACAAATATTTAGTTCCTTCGAGACCCGATCCTGAGACCTGGTATTCCCTTCAGGCCCATCTTGCCGACTGTGGACTTCTCCAACATGGGCGGCTCGGGGCAGCCCATCGTGTACGCGTAATCATTAGCGAGACGAACTAGATCGGCTGTAGAGATCTGCAGCTTCTTGACGAAAGTCTTGTTGTAACCAAGGAACGCCTGGTACGCCTTTGTCTTCGATGTCTCATCAACATTGGTGAAGGCTCGGTCAATGTTTGCTTGGTGCGAGGGTAGACGTGACACAAGGTCGACGGGGTAAGGGTTGATAGGCAGCGTCTTGTTGATCCTTGGGAAGAAGGCTTCTTGCTCGAAGAGAACGAGGACGGCACGTCCATCTTTACCGGCACGAGCTGTTCGGCCGACACGGTGAACGTACTGGTCAGTGCTTGAGGGGAGACCCAACTGAACGACGAGGCCAACGTTGGGGAAATCCATGCCGCGCCCGACGACGTCGGATGCGAACAGAATACCGCTTTGAGCGTCCTTGAACTCCTGGGTAGTGCGTGTGCGTGCAGGCTGAGACATGCGGCTATGGAGCTCAAATAGCTTGAACTGGGGCAGCGCATTTCGGTAGAGGTCATAGAGCAGTCCGACACCGTTCGCGGTGGTACCGAAGACAATGGCTTTGAAGCCGGTGGGGTTCTGGTTGTACTCCTCCTCGATCAGGGCTGACAACGCAGGGAAAGTCTGACCGACAGTAGGAACAGAGAAGAAGAATTGTGGTACGCGCTCGTGGGTCGGCACTTCGTTCGGGTCGACAGTCGAAAGATGTGTGTAACCAGGGAATAAGACGATCTTGGCGATGTCAAGAACCTCCTTGGGGAGTGTGGCAGAGAAACACATTCCCTGCCAGCCATCGTTCTTTGGGGGAATGCGCCTGAGTATCTTCTTGACCGCAGGTGCAAACCCGGCATCGAGCATCTGATCAGCTTCATCGAGGATAACCGTCTTCAGGTCACTAAACTTTTCGCGAACTTCCTCTTCACCCAGAATGTCGTCAAGGCGACCGGGAGTAGCGACCAAGACGGTAGGGTTGCCGTTCATGAAGGCCTTAAGGTTCGAGGCACGGGAAGTACCACCAAACGCAGTATGGCACTCCATCTTCTGGGGCAGACACGATGTGACACCGTTGCACTCCTTCGCAATTTGTAGAGCCAGCTCGCGGGTAGGGCAGACGACGAGGATGGCGACCTTGCCTTTCCGGGGCATGTTACCGGCTAGGAGATTTTGGATCGCAGGCAGTAGGAAGGCCACGGTCTTGCCCGTACCAGTCTTCGCCTGTACAACACAGTCGGAGGAGGAACTGGGCAGCTCAGTGAGAACCTTTTGTTGAACAGGGGACATGTATCTGTAAGAGTCAGCGACCGTGCTGGGAGAGTGCAACGTAAGAAGGGCTATGCTTACTCAAATCCCATCTTGTCCAAGCCATTTAGCAACGCTGGATGGAGCTTGTTCTTCAGGTCGGCGAAGGGCTTCGGTGCCGCATCGCCCGCCGCAGTGCTGTACATCTGCCGTACGTCGACGCCCATATCTGGCTTCGGCAGCGTGTCTTCAACTCTAGGACGTTTTGGTTGCTGCGACATGGTCGAGCGAGCGTTCGCAGGTCCTCGCCCGGGTGTGCCATTGGTACGGTCACCGCCGCCACCGCCGCCGCCTCCACGGCCTCCTCCTCTGCCGCCGCGGGTCCATTTGCGCTTCGGTGGTGCGGACATGTCTGGGACTGGTGCTGGAAGTGAGGTGTACTGTCTGTGTTGGGTGCGGTTGAGTGCGAAGGGGATTGTCGAGATGAGGCTATGTCTTGTATTAGTTGCTAGAGAGCGCGGCTGAACGAGACGAGCAAGAGCGAACGGGCGAGATGAGAGAGTGTGTGAAACTAGTTTCATTATCTTCATTCGTACATACAAAGTAATCCGCACTGAGAAACTAGAGAAAAGTAGAGACGCCGAGGGGTTGTGGATACAGAGAGCGATCGTACCCTTAGTTTGCCTTCCGGCCAGAAAAAGTGCAGCGCCCCGAGTCAGTCTGTGCTTTCTGCGACCGCTCGCTGAGTCAGCCATCCTCCGACCTATCCACGCCCGTCATACTGACAACAACACCAACCTCGAACCATTGGCGCGCTCGTTAGCCATCTATAGGCGTACAGTCTCGAAATTCAGAGAGTGATATATAGGCACCCACTGCGACGTCTCACGTTCGAGCGGAGGAGACTTTTGGAGCACTCTGCTTCACCTAAGTACCCGTCACCAGCTACAATCAAGCCATGTCTAGTGCCTCGTGATCTACACGCATGATGCTGCTAAACGTGACCTCAAAGTCCCCAGTACCCTCTCTTTGCACAATATTGTAGCATGGCTCTATGAATTTGGCGTAATCTTCACCCACCAGCGTCCAAATCAACTCGTCTGCCGGAGTGTTTAGGACAGCAACGAGCCGAAATTTGATTCGGAAATGCGTCCGGAAAGTCTCAAAAAGTTGATACATGTATTCCACTACGTCATCAAGATACAATGCCCTGGTCTGGTCGTCAGGGTCTGCATAAGTGGCGTCTACTGTGGGGACAGTAATATATATTTCGACATCTCCGCTCGTGCTTGGGTTCCGTAGTTTGTCCATTGTCATCTCCAGGAATTCGATCAGGAGACGTCGTTCCGCTGTACTCAGGGGGATCGGGGCGGCGGTATTGCATTTCGTAGCAATATCACTAAACCAGTCTCGTACCAGTGTGGAAAGCGTAGGTAATCGTGATGGATCTCCGAGTTCGCTGAAAATTCTCTTGTAATGGCTGGGATTAAGATACTCGTAAAGTAGTGTGTTGAGATCATGCGAAGTTGACTTTTTGACTCGCACCCAATCTTGCTGACCATCTGTCGCGTTTGGTGGATTGGCTTCAAGCCAGTGCTCACCCCATGTATACGTATGTGCGAGTAGTTGCAAGAGGCGAGGCAACTGCTTGATGCCCTTCCAGTGCACTACAAGGCGTGCTTCCTTCTCTCGGTCGAGTGCATACAACGTGTCGCCGGCAGCTTGCTGGATCTCCCGGCTGACTCCTGTGATGCCAGAACTGTATGCAGTGGCCATCCAACGTACATGTTTGATCCCAGGAACAGTATTGAGGACCATACGATTTGCGTTCCATCTGTAGATCTCCAGGCGAAGTTCTTCTGGGAGCGCGGCGAAGCCAGTTTTGAGTCTGTCGATTGAATCCATAGTAGGGTGAATACTCATAGCTTATTGCTTTCTGGCTATTGATACGTTGGTGGGCTGATACGTAGTAGGCCTTCGCCTCCTGCTTGCAAGTTCTCTGTAGTCTTTGATGGCTTGTTGTCGAAGTTTGACCCTGATAATGACAGCAGATCTTAGAGTGACGTCGTTTGGAGTTAAAACCTTGAGAGATGCAGATATGATTGGAGGACTCTACTGTATCGTAGTTCGAGAAAAGAGGTGTCAGTAGCGACATAATAAGCTTACCGTAGAAAGTCTACAACCGTGGTTTCGCGTACCCGATTTTGTGTTTTCGTCTAGGTTTTGCTTGAGATGCAGTGGTTGTGAATGGCTATCCAGGATCTCCATCACCAAATGTCTGTAACCGCGGACCATGCAAGGTACACAAACAATCTTGCCGCTCAGGTCCATCAGAGGGAGATCGCGATGATTAAAGGAGAAAGTCCTCCAGTAACGATCCATCACAGACAAACAATAAACCTCGGGAATATCTAGGTACCTCGTACGCGCGGCTAACAAGCTGCCCCACCTTTGAGTGCGCAGCCGGTAGCATGATATGTTATAGCTTACTGATGTCGTTGCGAGAAGAATTAGGGAGGTGGTGATATCTGTACTCCTAAAAAAGAGAAGAAAGTCTATTCTTAATATATTAATGTAATTTATACTCTATTTACTAAGGCGCTAGTTTAAAAGTAGTTTTTTTTTATTTTATAATTTTATAACGCTACTACTTACTTAAATAAAAAAGTACTATAAAAGCTACTAAACTAATTTTATTATAAAGCTTTATTACTACTATTTTTACTAGTTTTACTTTAGTACCTTATACCTAATTTTATAAACTCTATTTAGTAAAAAGATATTAAAAAACGCTTAGCTTATTATCTTAGAATAGCTAAAAAAATTTAAAATTTTAAGATATTTAGTATATATTACTATTAGTACTAATACTTAACTATAACTATATATATTAATATACTTCTAAGTTTACGTAGTAGTTAAGAACTACTAAAATAATATAGTAGTAATAGAAATACTATACTAGGTTTTATAGTATCTATTTTCTAATAACTATAATATAATAACTATTTCTCTAAGTCTTAATAAAAGTTATAGTAGTTTATTATAGCTACTATCTAATAAATAGTATCTTACTATATAAAGTAACTTATAAATACTATATTTTTACTATTTTAACTCTTTTTACTTTTATAAAGTATCTTAGCTAAAGTATTTCTTTATAAAAGTATAGCTTTCTATAAAGCTAAAAAAAGAAGTAAATTTATTATTTTTTTTACTTTATATACTTAGTTATAAATAATAATATAGTAAATAATTAATAGTATCTTATTAGTAAGATTATTAATAGAATAGTTTTTAATAAAATAGTTTTTTTAGTTTTTTTCTCTTATAAGTAAGAAACTATAACTACTAAAAAGCTTATATATCTTACTAATAAGCTTCTTAAAAGTAAGGCTAAAAAAAAAAATAATAAAAAGTTTTATACTTATTAAATAATAAAGTTAGTTAAATACTAGATATATAATATTAGACTATAATTAGATATATTATTCTAAAAAGACTAGAGATAAATTACTACTAAGCTATAATAGTAATTCTAAGATATTTATAGCTAATACTAAGTTAGCCTAGACTTTTTAGAGCTAGAACCTAATATTATTTTTTCTTTTAAAGTAGATTACTTTTAATCTACTTCTAAAGTTATTTAATAAGCTAAATAAGGTAACTATAGTCTATAATAGACTATTTTAGCTTATAATAGCTTATTCTAAGCTAGCGTAAGTATATTATATCTATAAGAAAGTAGAAATTTATTATAAAAAGTAGTAGTTTTAAAAAATTACGTATAAACGCGTATATAAGGCTACTACTTATACTAGTAAAGCTAGCGTAGACCTATACGCTTTAGATATTTCTAGCTAGTTAGATTTTTTTTTTATTTTTTACTTTTTAATTACTCTATAATAGTAAGTATTAGCTTTTTTTACTTATTATTTCTAGAATTCTAAAAAAGTCTAAAGTAACTTATTATAGCTTATTTTAAAGTATAATAAAGTAGTTTAGTCTAAATTAGAGATTTTTAGTATAAATTATACTAAATTACTACTAACTAGTCTTTAGTACTTTAACTAAAACTATTAATATATACTTTATACTAATTTACTCTTTTTCTATTTATATTTACTTTTTATACTTTATATTACTTTATTTTAAGCTTTAATAGCTTTTTTTACTTTAACTTAACTATAGTTAGTAATAATTAAATTACTATAAGCTACTTCTACGTATCTAGGCTTCTTAAGATTAGTTACGCGCTATATACTAGTTACTTATAGTTATAAAAGCTTAATAAGCTTTATATATTTAACTACTATAGCTATACTTTTTTAGTTCTTAAAACTAAGAAAAAGTATATTATCTTTACTAGTATAATTAGAAAGGTTACTAGTGTACTATTTAAAGATACTATTACTTAAACTATTTTATATAGCTAGTATTAGACTATAAATAAGTAGTACTTTACTATAAGTACTTATTTTACTTTTTTCTAGCTACTATTACTCTCTATTAGCCTTTATAAAGCTAATATATAGTAAATAGCTTTAAAATAGATAGTTTTAGTCTATTTTAGTCTATTTTAGGCCTTTTTATACTAATACTAACTAATATAGTCTTTAGAAAATTTTATTAACTTAGAAACTATATATAAGATTATTTACTAATTATTAGCTAACTAAAAGCTTTTTAGTAAAAAGCCTATTATTTTATATTTTTAAGCCTTTAATAATACCTTAGCGCCTACTCTACTAGCTATAGAGAACTTTAAGTATAGTAACTTACGCTACTTAAAAATAGACTTAGTAAAAAAGTATAAGAGTATTTATAATAATATTATTAAGTAAGTTTTAACTTATATTAGCTTATTTTAGCCTAATCTAGTATTTTATAAGCTTTTCTATTCTCTCTAGAGTTAGTAAAGCCTTTATAGAGTCTAAAAAAGCTAAGTTAGTTTATAATAGCTTATTTTAGACTATTTTAACTAACTTTAGTAGTAACTACTTCTCTAATTAAAAGTACTTATAATTTTATTTTAGTATACTCTATAGCTATACTACTACTAAGTCTAGTATATACTTTAATAATAAGACTAAAGCTAAAGCTATAGTTACTAGCTTTACTAATAGTACTTTCTATATATCTAAGAAGAGAGCTAATAAAGTTACTAGTGCGCTTAACGCTAAATTACTATTTAAGTAATTAGTAAGTTCTAAAATACTTTCTTCTAAACTCTTATAGCTTTAATTAGCTCTTTATAAGTTACTAGTAGCTACTTTACTTTTATTTACTCTTTTTTAGCTTTTTATAGTTTATTTTAGCTTATATTAACTTTTTTTATAATATTTTATCTTAAAGCTTACTAAGTAGGCTATTATTTTTATAGTTAAAGATCTATAAAACGCTATTTAAGAACTTTAGATAAAGCTTACTTTTTAGCTAAAGAGTAATAAAGCTACTACTAAAAAGAGCTAGCTTAAGAAGTAGATTAAAGCTAAGAAAGATAAGATTAAGTATCTTAGAGCTAGTATTCTCTAAGTTACTCTTAGATAACCTTTAATAGTCTCTTATAGCTTATTTTAGTCTATTCTAGAGTAATATAAGCTCTTTTAGTATATTTAAATAGAGTTTAATAGAGTTTATATAGAATTAGTTTAAACTAAGTAGTACTAGCCTACTTTAGACTATTATAAGCTATTATAGTATAGTTAGAAGCTTTTAAGTAATACTTAAGTTAGAATTTCTCTATAAATATAAAAGTTCTTTATAGTAGTTAAAGTTATTTATCTATATAAATTTACTTAAAGTATAATATCTTATTCTTTAAAACTAATTATAAGACTTAAAAAACTAATAACTCTACGCTAGAAATAGTTAAAGTAAAATAGCCTATACTAGACTCTTTTAGACTATTAAAGGCTATTCTAGTCTAAAGTACTATTAAATACTTTAAAAAACTCTATATAAAGAAAAAAAGTAAAGATATACTCTAGTTTATACTAGAATAGCCTATTATAGCTTAACTTAACTTATTCTCTCTTTTTATAAAGCTATTTATAGTATTACTTCTTAAGCTAGGCTTTTAAAAATTTTCTACGCTATTATATTTTCTTTTTATTTTAGAACTTCTATAGTATATTAGCTAAGATATTTAGACTTAGTTTTTATAAGTTTTCTTTCTCTAAGTACTTAACTTATTTAATTAAGTACTTTTATTAGTTATTCTTATTACGCTATCTTTTAATAATATATTCTACTTTATATATATTATTACTAAATTCTCTTAAAGTATTCTACTTAAGCGCTTTAGAGTATAAAATAGTATTTTTTAGATTAAAAGGCTCTAAAAGTAATATATAAAATACTAAATAGATACTATTAAGTTCTAGAAAGTTAATCTAGAAGACTAAAAAGCTAATTTAGTTTATAATCTTTCTAAGTCTAAAAAACTTCTAATCTAGCTTTTTCTTTAAGTAAGTACTTCTAATATATTAGTTAGAGACTAGAACTTAGTTTTCTACCTTAAAAAGTATTAGCGCGTAGTACTTATTAGTATACTTTTTCTAGTAAGTATTTACTATTTTAATCTTTTTATAGTACTTTTACTATAGTTTAATTACTTATTTAGTAAGACTAGCTTTTATAAAGCTTTTTCTTTTACTAAAAGCTAAATTAAGCTAATCTACTTTATAAGAGTACCTTTTATAGTAGACTTAGAAGAAAGTAACTCTAGTAGTAGAGTAGATACTATTATTATATATAAACTCTCTAATAAATATTTAGTACGCCTAATTATTCTATTTTAAAAAGTAATAGTAGTAAAAGTACTATTTTAAAATTTAGTTTTACTTTTTAGTCTAGCTATTAGTCTAAAAATAAAAAGTAAAAGTAAGAACTCTTTTAGTATT